TATTAGCCAGGAACGGCCAGGTGTGGGACAGTCGGAACTCTTGTTTGCGAAGAGGAGAAGGCCTTTACACAGAGGCAAGTGAAAGGATCCATCACAATTTAACATGTGCAGCTGTGCACTGGTGGCTCAGCCCTGCAGTCCAGGCTGGGAAGGCTGAGATCTGAGGATCACAGTTCAAAGTCAGCTTGGGCAGGAAAGTCCATGAGACTCTTATCTCCAATTACACAGAAAAAAAGCCTCAAGTAGAGTTGTAGTTCAAAATGGTAAAGTGCCAGTCCTCAGCAAAATAGGTAAGGGCTGGTACTCAGGCTCTGAGTTCAAGCCCTAGGATTGGCGCACGCGAGCACACACACACACACACACACACACACCAAAAAGAAAAAAAGCAAAAACAAAAAAACTCACCCAAGTTCTAATTATGCAAGTCTGACTCTCTACTCCTTGAACCCTTGCCTACAGAAACAATCACACAAAACACATGTCTTTTAAAGCCCTGTGAAAAATAGATTTAGATGTAATAAACCTCCACGTTAAACAGGGTTCTCCTTTGTTGCTTCTACATAAAACTAAACTCAATTCCCATCTACTCATCTGATACTGATTGGAAGCCACCTATAATTTTTTTCATGCAAACTAACCCAACAAATCTATCATCATGTGACCATTTCCTAGTCTTTCAAACTTTAATGACTGGCAGAGGTATTTGTCCCGCAGACAAGCACTGAGTCCGTCCCATGAGCGTGGAGGGGCTCAGGGAAGGGCAGCCATGCGGAAGTCGCTGGACTGGGCAGAAGCACATGCCTGCTGCCATGCCCCTCCCGGGTCCTTGGGCTTGTTACCTCTCCCCATCCACTGTGTACATCATTTTAGAAGGAGGAGCCAGTGCCAGCCTGACCTTTTCTCCCCTCGGTTACTGCTACTGTCTCAAGCAAGCCTCTCTGTGCCTCCTTGGCAGCTGCCATCTCCCTGGACACCTCACATTGTGTTTGCACTCACCCTCCCTCCCTTTGTCTCTCTTGTCATCTGGCAGCTGCAACCCATTTAACAGACAATGTCAGCATTATTAATACTTATCATTCCATGATCTAGAGACCATGCTGTTTAATACAGTGGCCACTAGCTACATATAGCTACTTAAAATTCAATTCAAATTAATTCAAACAAAATTAACTAATAATGTTAATTTTTATTCTCATGAAGTTGTATTGCAAGTACTCCGAAGCCAAAGTATCCAGAGTGTATGGTATTGGATAATGCTGATGTGAAACCTGTTCTACTGAGCAAACTTCATCTTAATAACTCAACTGTAACAGTGGCTACAGGCCCAGGAGAACTGTAAACATTCATAACAACAACGAACCCTAAATTTCCTAAAAGAAGAGTTATTAAGGTTGAATCAAAGCAATGAACAAACTTGCCATATCTGAAAATAAATTTCCCCAAGTAAATAAATATTCGGGAACTCTTTAAATTTCTGTTTAATAATTCCGGTTTTGTCCTAAGTATTGCATTTACTGGCTGAATTAGAACATTTTGTGATTTGAAAAAAATCATCTGCGGGGTTCCTGAGTTCCTTTTTAAAGAATATTCAAAGCTGTCAACCTGTTGTTTCTCATATAGGCATTGAGTTTATAAGCAGAATGTGTCCGGGTGTTTTAAAACCCCCTGAATGGAAACCAGTTTCACATCTTCCAAAGGACATCTCTCTATTTGTCAAGAGGTTCAAACATCAGCCTTTCGGGCTTTTCCTTTCCTTTGAAATTAGTCTGGAACTTTCCCCTCACAGAACACTCCAGTCTCATTTCTCCTTGTATTATCCAACTACTATTTCTTGTTTATATATTCATGACAGCATGTTCTATTCTATTCTATTCTATGGTGTTAGAGATTCACAAAAGAATAAAGTTTGTCCCTCCTGGCAGTGCAGTGAGAATATATATGTCATGGTAAACTTGGTGTGTATTTTAAGAGACTGAGGCAATAGGAATTGTGTAAAGTCAAAATGAGGAGGAGAATGTAAAATATGTGAAAACAATAATCCTTGATCACAAGGATTAAAATCAAAGACGCTCAAAGATCAATCACAGGGAGTTGTCAGTTGAGAATCAAACAGGCAGTTGTGGATGGATGTCTGTCCCTGCAGAAGTATTTTCTGCATGAGATTGAGTAGGCTGAGGCTCGGGGTGTGTTTCTGGCAATCTTCTGTGACAGCTCTGGAATAGACATTCCTCCATAATCTCCTAACCTTACTTTTTGTTAGGGCTTGAAAATGACTCCAATTTGATTCCAGGACACTTTCACATCCTTCTGATGCCGTGAGTGCCTTAAGAGCAAGAATGTAACTGACTTATTTGAATCCTAGTGGCTAACACTGTGTCCAATGCAGAATATTCCCATTAAATGTTAAGTGGACCTAAGCAAACTTGACTCAAGCTCTTACAGTTAGGTGTTTTTTGAAGTATAACCAATGTAATTTTTGTTGATATCTGTATTTAATTATAACAGACACTTGAATTACTTTGAAATGTTAGCAAGGGTTAATACTACTGACCACAACCCAGCCGGCTACTGTTTCCTTTACTATATGAGTTTCTCAATTCCTTGGGAGAAAATTGAAGTGCTTTTCACTGAGCCAAAACAGAATATATAATGAGACTGCCAAGTAAACTTACTATTTAAGATATAGATAGATAGATAGATAGATAGATAGATAGATAGATAGATAGATAGATAGATAGATAGAATGATGATCTTTGCTTTGGATGAGCCAACAGATAACAAAAAGTATTGCAAGTGTTTTAATATCTAACAATGACAACTTACTTTATAAGAAACTTGACTTTACCAAATAGACAAGTGCTCAAGTTTGAAGAGAAGCCCAACTGTCATATATTACCAAAAGACTATTGTTCCTTTGTCTAGGCTCCTGAAAGCCAAAGTCTAATGATGTTGAGCAAAATGCTGCTGGGAGCAGTCAAAATATAAGATATTCAATAACACTAAGTATCAGTTGTAAATTAAAGAAAATTATTTTCTAACCAGGAAATGCATGGTCCTTCTTAGTGCCAAAATGATACCAACAAAGTCAACTCAACATTTTTCCCTTCAACTAGAACTGAAATTCTAATAGATCTTTCTTTTTATCTCTGAATCTCTCCTTTTTACAATTTATTGTAACTGATACATAAAGAAACAAAGTTGAATATATTCAGAAACCAAGTAGTGTTTAAATTCAGGTTAGCAGTACTTATTTGCTCAAATCCTTTTCATTTATTTATGGTGAAATGCTTTCTTCCAGCCTTGGAAGTGTTCCCCTTCTAATAAGAACCAAACACCATGTTTTGTAGCATTTAAAGTGAAAGAATAAATATTATCATTGAGTTGGCTGGGGGCCTACAGGAGTAAAACACTTTTTTAACTCTTCTTTATACAGAGCTATAACTTAAGAGGTTAAATTTAAATTGAGATTTCCAGGTTCCAAATGCCTACATATGTAAGTGGGCATGTATTTCAAAGTATTCTTAGCCCAATTATTCAGTCAAAATCTGCTTGGTTTACCTATCATTACTCATCATTCTCTCCTTTTCTTCTTTTTCACCTGCAAATTGATCATTTTCTTTCTTACTAGTCTTGTATTAGGGACTAAAGAAGAAATAAAGAGCAAGACATTAAGGCTGACGATATTTTCAATATTTTATAAGATTTTTTAAAATAATGTCTGCGAAAAAATAATAATGACTGAGGATATTGAAATTGCTAGTTAAATTAAGGTCACATGTGTACAGATTTAAGTGATCTAAAATTATTTTGGTGTTTCTTATTTTTTCAATTATGTTCAATTTACCATTTTTAATTAATAACATAATGATTTATCACCGTAGTATCTTTTATTTAGGCCTGCATAGTAAGGATTATTATTCACATTTCTCATGAACCAAAAGACGTATGGAGAGATGAAGCTGGACTCGTATGGAGAGATGAAGCTGGACTTGCCAGGTAGAGGTGAGGCTTCGAAACCATTCCATCCCAAGCTCAGCCTCCATTCCCTCGAGCCTGTGGTACCAAATATCAGATTGGAGGAAAGAAGGCCTGTGTAACACAGATGGCTGGGTCCACCCTGGAGTTTATGATTCAACATGTCCTAGATGGGGCCTGAGGATGTGGGATTCCACACAGGTGATGTGGAAGCTGCTACTCTACTGCCCACGGTCCAGGGGCCATACTTCAAGAGCTACTGCTGTAAATTACGGCCAGGCCGTTCGACTCATTTCATAACTCATGAGGCTGGGAACCAGCACAGAGCAGGGAGAGTCTCCTGATAGCCAATGTCCCTCTCCAGCACCCTCATTCCACCCACAGCAGCCGGTCACCATTACTTCCTGGAACACCTCACACATGCCACAAAAATGCTGCGTGACTCAGTTTCTGTTTTCCCTTGTGGTATTACGGAGAGGACAGATCCGTTAAATGAAATGCAGAAGTGATCTGTTTTTGTGAAGTCTATTTTAGCTAAAATGTTTGACATATTTTTCTCTGCTATGCCACTGAATTTATTAAGCATAGCAAAGAGAGAGACAACAACAACAAAAATTGTCCCAAAGTCCCTCGATTACCCCCCCCCTCCAGATAATCTGAGCCATAATCATGGAGTGACTCTTTAAGGTGATGGGCCTCTCCCCCAACACGTATCATTGCCCTTGGTACCAGCCCATGTGTCCCCAGCTTTGTAAAAGAAATTGATTTGTTCTCATTCTTTAGAAATACATGATGGTCTTTATATTGTTCATTCCAAATGTCTTCAATCCCGCCTCCTTCCTTTGAAAAAAATCACCAAATTATGGCACTCCCCATTGCCCCACCCCAGATAATTAAGTGGAAAATCAAGAGAATGTAAACCACCCCCACAATATCCTATAGATATGAGATCTGATTGGTAAAACACTAATGGCTGCAAGCAATGGAGTACTGACAGTTGGTGAGTGGTCACGTCGGGGTCTTACCTATGCATACTAGATCCATAAAACCATACATTCCATAGCAGATCTGAAAGAGGATGTCCTTCCTCTGCCACACTGCATAGGGGCTGAAGGCTGACCAGAGGAGCCAAGTCACACTCGCTATTAAGAACAGGGATCCTAGGATTACAGCAATCATCTGAACTTTCTCAACCAGTGTTATAGAAATGCTTTGCCACTAAAAGAAAAACAGAGGCATGTAAGAAAAAAAGGTGCTGTGTATAATTTTAAAAGAAAAGAAAAACAGTTTCAATCCTATGGTTCTCTTCATAATTCCCAGACCCCTATAATCTATTCAATATCCTCAAAATGAATTTTCCACTTTATTCAGACTACAAAAAATAAGACAAGCAGATAAAGATTCATGAATTGCCTTAACTTCATTATTTTTGGTAATTCACCATTCTGTAAGTTTAATCTACTTTTACTCTAGATAACAGTTCTAAGCGTGAATGGCTGAGGAATATTAGTCCCTAGGAATCACATTATTATCTTGAATACACACATGAAATTAAATACGCTCTGATAATAAACTGTGAGAAATTTTGCATCCCATATTTTTGTTCTTGACACATTTGTTTCCTTAAAAAAATGGGAAATTCTCTATCATATTTTATAGTAAAATGTATTAAAATGTAGTAAGCTCTAAAAGAACATCAATAAAAAGTGTTTAAGATAACAGAATAATCATAAGGGAACTATAAAATTGTACTCGATCTACTACTAGCTCATCTCATATATTCAAATATTAAAATACATTTATTATCTAATAGGTAACCCATGAAGTATTTCTTGCCAAGATTTAAAGCATGTACAGAGATAGAGTATCTTAGAAACTAATAAACTATATTGACACACTATTCAATGGGGTGAAGAAATTGGTGTCCTAAATATTAATATCTGAGAGAATTTACAGTATAACTAATAGAGTTCCTTTGAGAGTGCACTGAATTTGAGAGGACTTAAATGTTCTCATGTTCATATGTTTAAGAGAGAAACAAAAGTAAGATTGTCCTGTTGGCATGCCACCAACCAAAAACAAAACCAAGAGCCTGGGCTACTGCAGCAGACTCTCAATAACCTTAGTAGAAATTATCCAAAGCAATCTGTTAAATGAACCTGAAATTTCCTTAAACCCTTACTTACCTTAATTCTGAATATGTGTATTCCCCCAATGACAAGTCCACCGTGGCCTATAATTTCCACCCACTCAGTTTCTACCAGTGTCTACCATCTTCTCTCTAGACTCTCTCTCTCACTCTGTCTCTCTTCAGCTTTTATTTTCTCATTGACATACATATCTCTCATAAATAGGGAATTTATATTCATGATATCATAAATCTACATTTGACCTCGTATAGTCATGGATATTATTAAATTCTATATTTGTTTTATGTTTTTTTAAATTTTGTCAAGATGATATACAGAGGGTGTAGTTTCAGCTACATACATAAGGTAGTGAAATTCCACCCGATCCCAGTAAGATTGACCATTACCAAAATAAATTCTATATTTGTTACAGATTAAGTGTGAATATGTATTTGAAATGTTTCATCCTCTATAATCACTTTTATTTCTTTTAAGGCAGACCAAACAATAAAGAGCTGTTTGGTATAAAACACATTTCTATTCATTTTAATATGAAGACTCATTTGGGAAGAATAGTTCTTGTTTATATCTGAATGAACAACAATTAACTAGTTGATGTTATTTTATCATTAAAAATAATTCCACGTTGTATTTCCAACATAGTTTTGAACTTGCTCTTTCCTTAACTTCCTGACACAATTTCCAACACATTAATTCCAAACTGTCTATTATTTGAACTTTAAGGCATTTAAATTTTGCTGTCACCAGGCCACTGTGAATGTCTCTTCATCTTGTTTAGCTTTCATTTTTATTAAAATTTGTCCTAAATCCACTACCACAGGAAGTATGCATGTATGTATATACATACTAATAAATATATGCACCATCTTACCTTTCATCACTTTTATTAATCACATCAGATAGTTGAAAAGAACTATACCTTTCAGTCCATGAGACTAAAGTATCTTCTGTGTGTGTATGTGTGTGTGTGTGTGAGCATGCATGTATGCAAGTGTGAACGAATTTCATTTTCAAGTTGTGATCCGCAAGTTCAAATATACATGCTGAATCTTAAGTAATCGAAGGTAACTTGAGAGGAGGACTAATGAACTATGGTCTTCACTAACATGAGTTTTTCTTCTGCCAATAATTCTGGTGATTCTATAGGCTTATTATGTAACTTTGGTGGAAGTAAACTTGAGCAATTTAGTATCGTATATGACTCTATTTGGTTTTAATTAAACCTGTTATTTAGTGGGTCCAGCCCCGCCCACATGCTTGCCATGGGCACAGGTGGCTCAGTCCTACTGGGTGCTTGGGTGCGGGCGCACTGCAGCAGGGCTTGGACATAGCTTTCCACTTTTCCAGGACTCAGGAGGAAGGAAGGCTATGGAATGTTAGCCACCTTATTTCCTGAAAGAAAACTGCTACTACACGAGGTGATGGTGAATTAGTGAGGCCACGGTAAACAGGAACAGGAACTGTGGGTGCTTCATTTGGTGATGCTAAATTTAAAGTGGTTTAAGATTCAGTTGCCTTGTCCTTGGGAATTAATATGTTCGAAAAAAAAAAAAACAACAGAAAGCTAGGAAGAGAACAATTGTTGATTACAGAATAGCAGGGACCTTAATAATTTATTGCTGTCGTAGATGTTATCTATATTATGGATATAGACACAGTTTTAGATTTTTTAAAACTTATTTGAAAAGAAAGTATAAATTATACAAAAACTCTAGCAAAGTCTTGAAATTTTTTGTTATATGGAACTCTGCTAATAATGCAAAATATTTCACAAATAATCCAAAGGTGCAAATGTGTTTAAAAAATAAAAGAGGCTCTTCAAATACTGATGAACCTTAAAACAGCATTATTTCAATGAGGACAAACACATTATTGAAATCAAAATCATTAAATCTGATTCTCTATCTAGGGATTTCTCTTTGGGTAGTCATATCATCTTGGTAGTTTATTTGCCCATGATATACAACTCTTTCCTATTTCTATTATGTACCAAAGGGGGACTAGGAGATGGTTCCTTTGTTCCTCTAGGCAAAATAACTCTGCTTTCCATGGCAGGAATTTTAGCCCGTGTCCTTGCTCTCAGAGGGCAGGAATTGTCAACAGGGTCAGCTTCTGGAAGTTGGCTTAATGAATCACTAGCTAGAACAATTCAAGTCTCTTGAGGTATGCTACTGGATTTAGATTTGTAAGATACTTTGAAACTTTAGCAAAAATTTTCAGTAAGTAAACAAATTTTTCTTCTCTAAAAATATATACAAGATTGTGGGATCATTTTGTGTGTGTGTGTGTTTGTGTAGAGAAGGAAAGAGACTTGTTTAACTTTTAACTTTTTTTCAAAGTTTGGGTAGGAAGGCAATAGTACAATACTTGGCTTTGCTCTCAATAGAGTCTACTTACTATTTTTTTCTTTACTATTTGAATATATGTGATTCTTATCCTCCTAATAAAGCTACTTGCATGCAACCAGCTATTTTATCTGCTGTTCCTGGAGAAAGTAGAGCTGATGAGCTCTTCTTCTGGAAAGGTCACCTTCATTTAATAATTTCCATTTACATAGTACCAATGCGTGCCAGACATTCTTCTAGGAAGTTATACACATTACCTCATGTAGTTCTATGAAGGATTTATTCTCCCCAGTTTGAAGAAAAACAAACTGAGGCAGAGAGGGTAAACAGTTTACTGACCCACGTTCCACATCTAGTAAGGGGCAGAGCTCAGATAAAAGCTCAGACAGTCTGGCTCCTAGGCTTATACTCTTACCACTTATACTAGAACCTATAATAATTCTACTGAGCTTTGATGACAATTAATTGCACACATCCTTGTTTTTGTGGAATTACAACTTTCTAAAGCTCCAAGTCTGTTTTTCTTTCAATAAGTTTTTTTATTGTGAAAATACTGTACAGAGGGGTTATAATCACATGAGCACGGCATTGAGGAGGCATTGTTGCCTCCTCCTTTGTTTTTCCAAGTCTGTCTTCTCTGGTCAGCTGACATTTGCAGAGGCAAGTCATGCTCCTCAACCTATCCCAGCTCCACACTCCCAGCAAAAGGACAGCTGCCTCTCTAAGCTCCAGTAAGGAAGGCTAAGTACTTAGGTCAGCACAAAGCCTGTGTCTGGCACATAATTGTTACAGAAGGATAAAAGAGGAAGAAAGGGAATAAGAGAAAGGAGGGAGGGGACAGCAGGGAAGGGGAGGGGAGAAGGGGAAGACAAGGGAAGAAAGGGAAGGAAGGAAGGAGGGAGGGAGGGAAGGAGGGAGAAACATCTCTCCATTTATCCCTCATCTGACTTTTTATCGTCTCTTACCAGGGACTGACTCTCCTACCACTCATATTTGACTCTAACGCCCGCTCTTCCCATCTCTGTCTCTGTCTCTCTGTCTCTCTCTCTCTCTTTCTCTGTCTCTCTCTCTGCATATATATATGTATATATATATATATATTATTTTTTATTTTATTTTTTGTCAGTTGTGGGGCTTGAACTCTGGCCTGGGCGCTGTCCCTGTGCTCTTCAGCTCAAGGCGAGCGCTCTACCGCTTGAGCCACAGCACCACTTCCGTAATGCCCTCTGTTCTAGAAATCCATCCCTTCATGTTCTTTCTCTCCTAAATGGAATCCCTCCCTTTCCTAGACCCCAAATCTACTGTCTATATTTCTGTTTAGTGCAAATTTCTTTCTTGCTCTAATCCCAGACAATCTGTGGTCTCCCATGGTTCAAAGGCTGCAGATTTCCCTAGAACACAAGCTGAGCCCCACCCCCCCTACTTATCTGCCTCACAGCTGGACACACAGAACAAGGGCTGAAACCCCCTCCCCAAGGCTTCTGATACTAATTTCCATATCCTGTCTGACTGACCCATGAACACTATTCCATGTCCATTCTATCACTCTAGGAAGCTGCAGCCACAGTCAAACCACTAGTGCATCTAGAATAAGAATATATACATTCCACAGCCTAATGTCTTTCTACCGTGCCCTTCTCTGTCTACTTTGTCAGCACTCACTGTTTCCAAATCTGTATAGACGAACACAGCCTGAGTCTGAAAGCAAAAGCAAAATGGGAAC